AAAAAAAAAAAAAAAAAAAAAAAAAGAGCAAAGCAGGAATCACTACAACCTAAGATTGTAGGCTATATTATAAAGCAACAGTGATAAAAACAGAACGGTATTGGCACAAAAACAGACATTTGCGTCAATGGAACAGAACAAAGGATGCAGAAACAACTCCAGGTACATTCAGCCATCTGAGCTTTGACAAAGTAGCCAAAAACATATGCTAGAGGAAAAATAGCCTCTTTAACAAATGGTGCTGGGTTCAGGAAGTCTGGCTGCACAAGAAATAACATCAAGAATTAATGAATGGGATTATAGCAAATTAAAAACTTTATACAGCAAGGGAAGCAACCAACAAAGTAGAGAGGCAATCTACAGAATGACAAAAAAAAAAAATTTGTCAGCTACTCCTTGGACAGAGGACTGATATCTAGAATATATAAAGAACTAAAAAAAAAAAGCCCCCCCAATAAAAGATCCAATTAAAATGGGAAATTGAAATGAATAGACACTTCTTAGAAGAAGAAGTAGAAATGGCTAATAAATACAGGAAAATTATTCAGCATCTGTGGCCACTGGTGAAATGCAAATTAAAACAACGCTGAGATTCTATCTTACTCCAGAAAGAATGGCTACCATCAAGACGTCAAATAATAACAAATGCCGGCAAGGTTGTGGGAAAAAAGGAATCCTTCTACATTGTTGGTAGGAATGTAAGCTGGTACGACCACTATGGAAATCAGTACGGAGATGCCTCAAAAACTAAAAATAGAAACTGTATCCCACCCAGCTATTCCCCTGCTAGATGTGTTCCTGGAAAAGTTAGACATATTACAGTGATACATGCTTACCCGTGTTTATAGCAGCATAATCCACATTAGCTAAAATCTTGGAAGCAGTGTCTGTGTCCCACCAACAGATGAATGGATAAAGAAAATGTGGTGTTTATATACAATGGAGGGACTACTTTGCCATAAAGAACGATAAATTTTAGCTATTTGTAGGAAAATGGATGCACCTTGAGACCATAACATTGTAAAGTAAATCAGACACACAAGCTTAAATAGCATGTGGTTTTTCCTTATATAAGAATCCCAAAGTATAAATAAATTAAAGAGCAAAATAAAAGACAGATAATATGAAACAGGGAGGTAGATCTTTCACAAATGGGAAGGGGATGGGACCAAGAGATGGACTTGGGGAGGCAGGAGGGAGAGGAAGGGATGTAAAAATAATGAAGATGTATTATATGTATGTACCAACTCCCCATGATGAATATAATCATGATGCACTAATAAAAAAATAAGTGCAGCCCCCCCAAAGAAAGTAATTCTTCAAAATAAATCACTAGCAATGACTTATGTGTAGGTTATTTCTTATGGAATTATAGAAGAGCTTTTCCTTCTAACTTGTAGTGAAGTAGCAGCCGGGCATGGTGGTGGATAGCTGTTATCCTAGCACTATGGGAGGCTGAGGCAGGAAGATCAGAAGTTCAAACTTACCCTAAGTTTAGCAACTTAGTGAGACTCTTTCTAAAACAAAAACAAAAAACAACAAAAAACAACAAAAACAAAAATAAAGCCCCAAAACACTGGTACTTTGACTCAGCACAAAGTCCCAATCCCCAGTATCGCAACAGTAAATGCAGTAAAATGAACAAAATAGCATCTGCGGTGCACACCTGTGCACACGCACACGTAGTTTTAGTTTTGGGAGCTCTTGGCAGGGTGTGGTCAGGAGCAGGGGCCACCTCCCCCAGCCCACTTTATCTCGCCGTCCTAAGGGCTGGAGTGCAGGGAATTCCTCAGTGCTGAGTCTGAACATGACTCACAGCAGAGCGGGCTGCACCCCTTTCCTGCTCTGGGGACATGGACCCCCCAGGTCCAGGGGTGGAAAGTCAAGCTGTGGCTCCTGGGAGAGGGCGGCAGAGCAGAGTCCAAAGGCACTCGTTTATGGCAACTCATAAAAACCCCAGGAGGAGCTTGTGCCCCCAAAGTGGGGAGGACGGGAAGGACATCAGTGCCCATGAGCAAGGGGTTCTGAGTTGAAGGGCCCTCCCGGGGGGCCCTATCTGCCCTTAAAGGACCCTAATTATGAACTTGTCCCTGCTCCGTAGGTCCAGACTCTGAGACCCCAGGAGCTCCACTGCCCAGGGCAGGAGGAGGACAGCTGAGCCCTCCTCTATGGGCAAGGGGGAGGGTCTGGAGCCTATGCGCCTCCCTGGCAAGCGCTGTCCACCTGCAGCCAGGGCCCAGGCCCTGGGCGGAAATGAGCCCCATCCCTGGTGCTCACTGGCTGGCTCTGGAGCCAAGGGTGGGGCTCATCACTGCTGGCTGTCAGGCTGTCGCTGGGCTGTGGGTGCCCAGGGACCCAGCGGGCACCTGCCTCCCCACCCCCTAGGCCATTCTCTCTCTCTCTCTGGAGTCTTATCTTCCCTTATATGGAGAAGGCAGTTCCTAGAGGAGGGGGGTAAGGACAAAGGTCGCTCTCCTACAGCCAGCTTGCCATAACTCCCTGAGATCTCCCAGGTGGTGGCAGCTTCCTCTGACAGGTAAGGCCACACGGTGGGGACACACAGGGACCACTGGTGGTGGAAAGGAACAGGGGCTTTGCTTCTCATGGACAGACTGGGGTCAACTTTAGCACCCTGAGGTGGGCTCGGGGGTGAGGGTGGGCCCTTAAGATTCTAGAAAGAGCAAGGAGCCGCACAGGTCTGTCTGGGCCTCCAGGGAGAGACATTTGCAGGCCGCTCGTCTGTGACCCCCCCACGCTGGGTGTCGCTTGCCCTGGATTGCCCAGCGCTGAGACAGGTCTTGGGGCTCAAAGTTTCTAGACTTAAAACCAAGACGATGGCAGACAGATCTCACGATTCTCTTTCCCCTCAGCTCATCTCTTTGCCAGTTTCCTCCTCATTTGAAGTGGTTTCTTTCGTTCTTTGTGTCACCCTTCCCCAGAAACTTCTAGGACCTCAGGGGCCTCACCTCCTGGATCCCAGGTGTGAGCCATAGTGTCTGGAATTGAATGGGCAGAGGCAGAGGCAGGCCCTGGTCACAGGGGGACACCTCCCCTACACAAGGACTGGCCTCCCCATTGGTCCCGTTCAGCAACCACCAGGCGCAGCCCTGTACCTTAGGGCACACTGGCCACCCTCTTTCAGGGTCGCCCGCTCAGACGTCCTCCTGTGACTGAGCCCTGGAGCAGAATGGGCTGCCGCCTATCTAACCCTGAGCCTTCCCCTGCTGGGGAGGTAGGCCGGTGTCCTCTGACTAAGGGGAGGCTCCTGCCTAGCTCAGAGGTGAATGACTGGGAACTGAGACCCTGGGGCTCCCTAAAGCTGTACCCCAAGAATCATAAGGCAGCAGATAGGAAAGATGGCTGGAAACAGCAGTGCCCTAATTCCTTCCAGAATCCCACAAGGGGCTCCTATTCTGCAGTTCTGTCTTTCACCTTCAGTATTGTTTGTTGAGCACCTACTATCAGCTAGGACTGGCGGTCACAATGACAAGTCTGTCTGTGTTGGGGAGCTCATGGACCTCGGGTCTGTAAACAGATCTTTTCATCATGATGTGGTCTAGGGCAAAGAGAGACATCAATCCAAGGTTGAGGGCAGGTGGGGAGGCCTGCGGTTTTGGAAAGAACTGGAAGAACTGAAATCTAAATTGAGTCAAAAAGCATGTGTGTTGGGCAAGCAGGACAGGTGGGGAGGGGGTTGTTAGAGGGCATGGCGGGTGCAGGCAGGGGTGAGAGGCAGCCGGTGGCCAGGGCCAGCAAGCAGGCTGGTATTTCTAGAGGGCATCAGAAGGACAGGGTGTTGGGGTAGAGGGCAGAGAGTTTAGCTGGACAGAAAGACAGGACAGAGCAGGAGTCCAGGACGCTGCACAGATGGCTGACTTTGGGGTCTCGGGGTGAAGGTATCCTTTTCCCAGGCTTGGGACATAGAAGAGAGGTGCCTAGGAGTGAGGACGGTCAATGAATTGACTGGTTGAACACAAGAGAAAAGTGAGCACAGATCCAACCAGGGGCCTTGCCAGCTGGGTCAGGGCAGTGAGGAACCTGTACCTTCCCTGTAGTTTAGGGGAAACAGCGGGGCTTAGGAGTCCCCCAGGGCCAAGGGGAGAGGCACCTGCACTGGCCCACATGAGCAGGGGGCCGGAGCAATTGGGGCCGGCCAGGGGATAGCCCAGGCCGCCTTTCAGAGCCAGCTGTCCCTGGGATCCCCTTGCTCACCCTGTCCCTAGCAAGGCTGCCTATTCAGGTTTCTGCAGCCCCAGCCTGCTTTCTCTCCAGGGAGGGCAAGTGAACCCTGAATGTCCTCTCAGCTGGACTGGACCTTCCCCTCATGTCTACCACTAATTCCTCCAGCTTCGGAGCTGCTCCTGGAGTCAGGGCAGGCCCTGGGGGAACATCAGAGGTCATCTATGTAGCTGCCCACACTCCCAGCTCCTGGGTGAGGGAGTGAGGTCCGTGGTCCACAGCTGCCAGAGTCCATCTAAGAGAAAGGGGCGATTGGAGTACTCAGACTGGTTCTGCTGAACCTGGGCTTCCGTGGGACTCCTAGTGTTGAGACCTGATGGAGGGGCGGTGGCCTACAGGGACACCATGAGGAGTTCTGCCCAAGGGACACCTAAAAGCACGCAGCAAGACACCTGTGATGGATGTGTGGTCCAGATCAGCAAAGGGGACTGATCAGACTGGGCTACCAGCTTGGCCCCCAAATCCCAGAGCACCAGAGAGAGCAAACTCCCCTCGGGGCTCAGGACAGCAAGTCTCCAAGTGACCATTTATTATTCCAAGATGTGACTCAGTGTCAAAGTGCAAGGAGAGATTAGCTGCAGAGATCTGCAGCTGTCAGTATGCAGGGGCTGAGCCCCGGGGGCCACATGACCTTTCATTCATTAGTCACTTGTCCAAGGAGCAGTCAAGCAGGCGACTCCTGCCAGGCTGGGGGCAGGGCTATGGAGAGTAGGGTGGGGGAACTGGGGATGAGACTAAGCAGGGGCAGGAGGTTCTCCACCCTGGCTCATGTCAGGATCCCTGGGGAAATTTCAGAGCACCCACATTCCACCTTCCAGCAGCAGAAAATAAAGCAGCCAGGCCCAGAGTTCACTTTTGTTAATTAAATCTAAACCCCCTGGGGCCTGAGCTCCCGAGCATCAGTATTTTTAAAAAGCTCCCAGGTGATTCGGAGCAGCAACTGGAGCAAACACGGCTATAGGTCAAAACAAAGCACCCAGCAGGCAGGAGAAACCTGGAGAGGGCGTCTTCTAGCTCAGTGTGTGGTTTACTCTGTCATTCATTCATTCATTCATTCATCCATCCACTCACCCATCCATCCGCCCATCCTTCTCCAGTCTCCCTTATCCATTCATTCATCCAGCAAGAGACTCGTACTTCGCTACAAACTGGAGTTAGTACTGAGCAGAGGTAGATGGTCCTGGCCCTTGTGAGGTCTACATGTTGTGGACCACCGGAGCAGTGATGGAAGGGTTTATAGGAGTAGCTGGGGAGGGACAGGAAATTATTGCATATACATTTTCTTTTCTGTTCTGTTCTGTTCTTTTAAGTACTGGAGATTGAACCAAGGTCTGTCCATCTGTCTGTCTGTCTCTCTTTCTCTCTGTTCTTCTCTTTCTCTTTGGAGACAAGGTCTCACTATGTAGGCCAGGCTGGCCTCAAACTCATAGCAATCCTCCTGTCTCAGCCTTCCAAATGCTTGGATTACAAGTGTGCACCACCACTCCTGGCCATAGCCTCTTTAATTTTTTTAAAAAATTTTTGATACAGAGTCTTGGTAAGTCACTAAATTCCCTGGGCTGGGCTTGAACTTTTGAACCTGTTGCCTCAGCCTCCCAGAGTGGTGAGATTATAGGGATTTGCTACCAGGCTCTAATGCACACACTTTTTTTTTTTTTATTGTGGTAAAACTACTTCTACAATTTTCCATTTTACCTACCTTAAAGCACACAGTTCAGTGGCATTTAATATAGTCACAATGTCATGCAAACATCACTGTTGTCTAGTTCCAGATGTCTCCACCATCCCAAATAGAAACTCTGTCCCCATTAGCAATTGCTTCCCACGTCCTCTACTCCAGCCCCTGGCCACTCCTGCCTCTATTTCTACAGATTTTCCTGTCCTAGACATTACATGTAAATGGAGTTATACAATACGTGGTCTTTTGTGTCTGGTTTCTTTCACTTAGCATAAATTTCTCCTGTGTATCAGTACTTTATTCCTTTTCATAGCTGAGTACACTCCATTGGGTAGATACACCCCTTTGTGTTTATCCAGTTATCTGCTGATGGACATTTGGGCTATTTCCACATTTTGGCTATTGTGAATAGAGCTGCTATGAATTTCAAGTACAAGTTTCTTTTGTAATATTGGTTTTCAATCCTACTGGGTGCATATACTTTCAAGTTCTTTATTCTCTTAGAAACTCTGTTTATTTATTTAGGCTTTTTGAGACAGAGCCTTGCTATGTAATTCAGGCTGATCTTGAACTTTCTATGTAGCCTCGGCTGGCCTTGAATGTGAGGCAATCCTCCTGCCTCAGCCTCTCAAATGCTGGGATTACAAGCGTGTACCACCACGCTCAGCTCTGTATGATTTTCTTTTTTTTTTTTTTTTGTTTTTTGTTTTTCTGGTACCAGGGATCGAACTCACGACCTTGCGCTTGCCGGGCAGGCGCTGTGCCGCTGAGCTAAATCCCCAGCCCCTGTATGATTTTCTTTAAACCAACCATAGCATTGATAAAAAAAATTTTCAAACACAGAAATTGTCAGGGGCTCGATAAAGAAGGGCTTTGAGTGCCAGGCTAGCGGGGTGGTTGTACAGCAGGTGAAAGGGAGTCAGGGAGTTGTTTGAGTTAAACAGGATCGTGACCACAGCTGGGGCAGAAGGTTGGAGACCCAGCCCTCAGCCATCAGGGCCCAGAATGGGGAGTTAGCTCCCCTTCTGCCTCCAGACACTGGGCCTGCAGCCTCCAAGCACATTGTGCCATCTAGGTCTGGGCTGGAAGGGCAGAACCAGAAGCCCAGGACACTCCCAGCTCTGCAGCCTGATGCCCACCTATCTTCTTCCCTAGACTCCTCCACCATGACCAACCTGAGCTCCCAAGTCAAAAGCTCCCTCAACATCACCACCCCGGGCGTGCAGATATGGAGGATCGAGGTGAGCCTGCTATGAGAGAGGGCAGAGGGGAGGGAGAGTCTGGGGTGCTCTGTTGCCTTCAGCCCTGCCCCATGGCTTCCCGGAGCACCTGCTGCCACCTGTTACTGGCTCCGCCCCTCACTTCCGGCATCATCCGCACCCTGCTCCGCCTCCTCCACACTGCCCACATCCCCTCTTCCTCACTTTCGCCTTTTCTCTGTTTCTTCCCCATCTGTCCCTCAACTTCCTCTGCACTTCTTGCCCTTATCATCTCTTCCTGTCTCTGCTTTATTTCCTTTCTCCTTTCTCCTGTGTCTGTGGATTTTCTTTCTTCCATCTCCCTTTCCCCTGCTCTCAGCTTCCTCCTGGAATGTACCCCCCGGTCAGCTTCCTCCTGGCATGCATCCCCCCGGTCAGCTTCCTCCTGTGCCCCTGACCTCATTCTCTCCTCAGGCCATGCAGATGGTGCCCGTTCCCTCTAACACCTTTGGGACCTTCTTCAATGGTGACTGCTACGTGGTCCTGGCTGTGAGTGGTCGGGCAGGGGTGGGAGCTCAGCAGATAGCAAAGCCCACGGTGGTGTTGGGGTGGGAACACGAGGCTGGGACAGTGGGGAGAGACAGCATTTCCAGTGTGCCAGGTGCCCAGACCAGGAACCTCATAGGGGTCAGAGGCCTGCATGGGTAAGAGGTTCTTGCTGCCCTGATGCCACTGAGCTCACAGCCCGGGCAAGTGGGGGGACCTTCTGAGTTGGTGCAATGCCACCTCACCCAGCCCTCCATTTCTAACATCCGTAGTCATCTTCATATCACTTTTTTTTTTTCATATCACTTTCTTGATTTTGCCACATGCTTGTACCCCCTGCACTATGAAGGCGTTTATATTTTCATTTATTTTTTTTTAATTTTTTTTTATTTTAAAGAGTAAAAGAAGGATAACATAATAATGGGGGGGCTTACCAAATTACAAAGTGGTAGGAAATTATCAATGGTTATTGTTTTACATATTGTTATCTACAAGATAGTTTCTCAGGATATATTTTCCTTTACATTGACTCTTTTAGATGCACTTATGTAACATTATAAGTGTACATCATTAAGTGAAAGGTGGTGTTATGTGTCATAGACATAGTCTCTAGGAAGTATTAAAGTATTCTCATCATTTCACAAGCAGTCACCCTCCATGTCTAGAATATATCAGTGGGTTCCTCCAATCACAGATTGAAAATGTCCAGAAAAAAATGTCTGTGATTGAGCATTTTCTTGTCATTATTCCCTAATCAATACAATATAACAACTTTTTCCTGAGCACTTATACTGCATTACATAGTAGAAGCAATGCAGAGATGGTTTTAAGTATATAGGAGGAACTGGGCATGGTGGTACATGCTTGTAATCCCAGCACTCAGGAGGCTGAGGCAGGAGGATGGAGAGTTCAAGGCCAATCTGGATTATACAGTAAGACCATATCTAAAAAAAAAAAAAAGTATAAGGGAGAATGTGTATAGATTACATGCAAATACTCTGCTTTTGGAAAATGCTCTTGTAGTCTAAGCAAGTTATTTCCAAGATGAGGAGAGGGAGGCTAAGAGAAAGGAAGCCACCTGCCTCCCACCTCAGTCAGGGACAGAGCTGGGTGATGATTCAGGGGCCCTGACCTCCAGCCTAGTAGCTCCCCTGTGCCAAGCTCCCTGATACAGCCCCCGTGAGTGTGGGAGACGGAGTGGGGCAGGGGCTGTAGAAGCTCAGCGCCTCAGACACATTGGACACCGCTCTCCCCAGATCCACAAGACCGCCAACAACCTGACCTATGACATTCACTACTGGATCGGCCAGGACTCGTCCCAGGATGAGCAGGGAGCAGCTGCCATCTACACCACCCAGATGGATGACTTCCTGAAGGGCCGGGCTGTCCAGCACCGGGAGGTCCAGGGCAATGAGAGCGAGGCCTTCCGTGGCTACTTCAAGAAGGGCCTTGTGTAGGGAGGGGTGTGCTGTGCTGGCTGGAGACAGACTCCTGGTGGGGGATGGGGGCCGAGCTGAAGAAGCAGAGATGCTGGGACCCAGGCAGTGACCTGGGGCTGGGAAGGGAGGCCAGGGGCACCCACAGGGGGCATTTGCTGATTTTCTTTATCTTCTACTCCGTACCTTTATTTCTATTGCTGCTCTATCCTTGGCCCTGTCCCTTTGAGCATGCTGTGAGCTGTCTCTGGAGGCTCTTCTGAAATCCTGCGGTTCCAAGTACTGTGGATTTCTCTTTTTTTTTTTAAAACTCATGCTTGCCAGGCAGGCACTGTGCCAGTGAGCTATATCCCTGGCTGTGGGTCTCTATAAATCAGCCCCTATCTGAGTGTCCTGGAGAGCCCCGTGCCTAAGGGGGCTGCAGGATGTCACACCAAGCCCCCTCCCCTCTCTGGCTAAGAGGCAGATGCCTGCCCCTCTTCTCTAAGCAGGACTTTTACCCTAAAAACCCATATTTTCCAGAAAAGTCTGAAATCCTTGGAGACATGCGCTCTAAAGCCAGTTGCTCCTGGCCTGTAGGACAGGCTGGGCCTCTCCCCACCCTCCCTTTCGTCTTGCTCTCCTCTTCCACACTACTGTCCACTCTGCTGGGCACCTGAGCAGCACCTCGCTCTTCTTTTCTTCCACGTCAGTCCCCCGCCCTCTGGGCCCTGGCCTTCTTGACCCCATCTTTGCAGGCCTTGGTGCAGGAGTGGGGCTAGGGTGAGAGAGTGAGGACTTGGGGTGCAGACTTAGGAGCCACTCACTGCCAGGGTTACAAGCAAAGGCGGGCCACAGCCTGGCCTCACACCTGCAGGATCCCCGCAGTGACTGCTTCCTTGCGGTTTGCACCCTAAGCATCTCACTCATCACATGTCCACACTGGGCTCCGAGGTGGCCCCAAGGGCAGCCAGGCAGCCAAAGACGGGGCCCAGGGGACCCGCTCAGCCCTGTTCTCCTGGGTGGACTCTTCTCAGGATCCAGAGGGGGGGTGTGGCTTCCGGCCTGAAGAACGTGGAGACCAACTCCTACAATGTCCAGCGGCTGCTGCACGTCAAGGGCAAGAGGAACGTGGTGGCCGGCGAGGTGTGAAGCTCCCTGGGGCACTGGTGGGGGGGCGCTGAGGAGAGCTGACATGCAGGGAGGGGTGGCCGGGAGGTGATGCTGATGGACGGACCTGTGTGGGGTCCGGGCCATCCCTGTGCTCCCTAGGTGGATATGTCCTGGAAGAGCTTCAACCGAGGAGACGTTTTCCTCCTGGACCTCGGCAAGCTCATCATCCAGTGGAATGGTCCAGAGAGTAACCACATGGAGAGACTCAGGGTAACCCTGCCCGAGCATCACCCTCCTGCAGTTTCAGTACCTGCCCTGCCCCAGGCAAAATTGCCAAACCTCTGCCACAGCCAGACCAGCTCCCCAACCCCTGCCCCTGCAATTGGCTGAGTGTTGGGCACAGAACCTGAGTCCCCACACGCATGGGAGAGGTGTGGTGGAGTTGGTATGTGTGTGCTTGTGGCTAGACCCCTTGGGTGGAAGGAGTCCCCACAGTGTGGCAGACCCCAGGCCAAGCCTTGGGATCCAGGGGTGAGTGACAGCGGCAGAGGCTTGCTGTCCAGTGGGGCCCAGGCAGGAGGGAAGACCTGGGGTGCAGAGAAGCTTCTAGGAGGCAGTAGGGGGAGAAGGCCCTAGGGCAGGAAGGAGTTGGCTGGCAGGGTCCACCAGTGCAACAGGAACTGGAGAGCAGGTGCAGGTCTCACAGGGCAGCTTATGTGGCCAGATGTCTGTGGACTTAGGTTTTCTGTCCCATGCCTTGAACCATTGAAGGTCATCTGACCTCTACGGGGAGGCCGAGGGACATGTCGCAGTCAGCAGGGAGACTATGCCCACGCAGGTGCAGCAGAGGCCAGAGGTGCCCAGGCCCAGTTTAGCAGGTGGAATCTGCAAACTTACCTGGGTGCTGAATGAGGAGTGAAGGGAGGGAGGAGGGAGGCTTTGAGCTGGAGAACCGTGAGGTCAGGCAGAGTCCTGCCTCCTGGGGTGGAGAAGATCGAAGTTTTGGACATCTGAGAAGTTGGATAAGTAAGACAAGCACAGAGAGAAGCAAGGCGTCGCCTGCCTACACAGCCTGGGACCCAAGAGACAGCCTGGGAGGGGCCTTTAGCCGCAGAGGGGGGTGAGCCGCAGTGTGTGTGTATAAGGGTGTGAGCACATGTGGGACTGTGTGTGAATATGCACGTGTTCATGGGAACTTGTGTGAGACTGCTGTGGGTGTCAACATGCTTGTGCATGTGTGTGAGTATTTGTGAGGCTGTGTGTGCACTGAGCGTGCACGTATGCTTTGGGACAAAGATGCTGGGTACAGTACTCCGATCCTCAAGGCTTAGCTCTTGTGGAAAACAATGTCTAAACAAAATGCCTGGCAAGTCCCCCAGACACCCTCCTGCCAGATGAGGCAGCCCGCTTTCCCCCTTCTCTCCTCCACCTTCCTCACACACCTTAAAAACCCACCCCCAGCTTTTATGGCTGCCGTGAGGTGGCCAGGGGCTTGCCTGGCAGGTTTTGGGGCTGGAAGACACGGTTTTGTCCCCTGCCATCTTCTGTGGGTGACCTGCGACCTTTCTGCAGGGCATGACCCTGGCCAAGGAGATCCGAGACCAGGAGCGGGGCGGGCGCACCTATGTGGGCGTGGTGGAGGGGGAGAACGAGGCGGCCAGCCCAAAGCTGATGGAAGTGATGAACTACGTGCTTGGCCAGCGCATGGAGCTGAAGGCAGCCATCCCCGACTCAGTGGTGGAGCCGGCACTCAAGGCTGCCCTCAAGTTGTACCAGTGAGCACTGGCTGGGCTCTTCCTGGGGGCTAGGGACTTCCAGGGTGGGTAAGGTGCCCTGGCTGAGGGGCTTGGGCCCTCCCGTTTATACCTCACTTTATCCTGCAGTGTGTCTGACTCAGGGGGAAAGATGGTGGTTAGCGAAGTTGCCACGCAGCCACTCACCCAGGACCTGCTCAGCCATGAGGTGAGAGGGCTGAAGGACACCTGGCCTCAAACAGCCTGGTCCACCTCTCCCCATGCAGGGTGTTCTTACTTCAGGGTGCTGGGACAGGCGTGGAAGGGAAGGCTGACCCAGCCAGTGTCCCCAGCACCATGAGGCTCTCAGCTGGTTTTCTCTCCTGACTCTAGGACTGTTACATCCTGGACCAGGGGGGTCAGAAGATCTTTGTATGGAAGGGGAAGAATGCCAATGCCCAAGAAAAGAAGGAAGCCATGAACCAGGCCTTGGTAGGGAGAGACAGGGACTGGGGAGAAGGGTCAGGCCTGTGAGGGAAGCAGACAGCAGCAGGAGGCCAACAGTCTGCGACCAGGGAAGATTCTGGAAGGACAGGGCTGGAGGTGGCCCCACCTAGCTATTGGGGCTGAGGGGCCATTGTGTAGCCATCTTGAGGAGTTCTTTGCATACCAGAAAGCCAACCACTAGGCAACCTGGGGCTCCTCAGGATCCGAGCTGTCACCGCCCCATGCTTGGTTTACAGAAGGAACAGGGAGGCTGAGGCAGGAGGATTGCAAGTTCAAGCCCAGCCTGGGCAATTCAGTGATTTGAGACCGTGTCTCAAAATAAAAAATAAAAATAAAAAAGGGCTGGGGATGTACCTCAGTGTGAAGGCACTGGGTTCAACTCCCAGTACTACACAAAGGGACCTGGGTCAGCTCACATCCAGGGCCAAGTCAGCGTCTGGAGTGATTGTTGGAACTGGAGTTAGTAACCCGAATGGGCTCGAGGTCAGTGTTGGATTGGGGCATGGGTTCAGAGTTGTAGTAAGGGACTGAGCATTACGGTTAGGGGGAGGTGGGGTCAAACTAGGGGTCAGATTTGGCCTTGAGGTTGGGATCAGAGTTAGATTTGGGGTCAATACAGCGGTGCCTCGGTTCATGAACTTAATTCTTTCCATGATTCTGATCGGAAACTGAACTGGTAAGGCTCCACTGTATTAGGTTCAGGGTTAAGGTCAGATGAAGCTTGAGGTGGTTTCAGGTTTGACCTTGCAGCTGCGTTGCAGTGAGGTTAGGTTTGGGGTTAGCACTGGGATTGTGGCCGGGGGAAGGTCTGACAGCGGATTTGGCTGGAGGTAGAGCTGGGCTTTGGCTTGCACTGGTTTTGGGGGTTGGGAAAGAACAAGGCTGCCAGCTGCCCCCTCTCTTTCCAGAATTTCATCAAAGCCAAGCAGTACCCCATAAGCACGCAGGTGGAGGTGCAGAATGACGGGGCCGAGTCAGCTGTCTTCCAGCAGCTCTTTCAGAAGTGGACAGTGCCCAACCGGACCTCAGGCCTGGGCAAAACCCACACTGTGGGCTCCGTTGGTGAGGGCTGGATTAGGGCAGTGGAGGAGTCCAGAACCAGGAGCTGGGCCAGTAGAGGAATTATGTGGATTCCAGGCATACTTTACCCTGGTCAGAGCTCTTCCCAGTAGGGTGCAGACCCCAGGGGTTTGCCATGGATAAACTTGAGTATCACACAGAAGAAGCTAAGAATGACCTGCCTTTCCTTTGTAATAGGGTTAGCCCTCCCTGGGAAGCAAACAGCTTCTGTATATGATATTTGCTGGGGTCAAGCTCCAGGCTGGGCCCTTGGGGGGAGGGTGAAGGGAAAGCACAGCCCCTGTCATAGATGTCAACACTTGATGCCTGAATGCTGCAAGGGTCAAGATGGGCGGATCTACAAAGCTAAAGCCTAGCTGTTGTCCATGCCCCACCCCCGGCTGTGGCTTCTCTGGGAGTCTTTGATGAAGCAAACATATTAGAGTCATGGAGATGTGATTCAGTGCTATAGCTCTGCTGTTTTTTACCTTTGCAACCTTGGGTGAGCTGCTTAATCTCTTCTAGCCTCGGTTTCCTCATCTATAAAATGGGTCTAAATTATAGCCATTACCCAGGGCTGTTGTGAGGACCTAGGGGACCTTGGCTGGTGACAGTTGGTGTCATGATTCCCCCCACTCCAGCCAAGGTGGAGCAGGTGAAGTTTGATGTCGCATCCATGCACGTGCAGCCCCAGGTGGCTGCCCAGCAGAAGATGGTGGACGACGGGAGCGGAGAGGTGCAGGTGTGTGTGTGTGATGGGGCTCATGCTGGGTGGAGACGGGGCGGCAGAGGCTGGCCAGGACCCCACTCTAACCCGATACTGGCCCCAGGTGTGGCGCATTGAGAACCTAGAGCTGGTGCCCGTGGAGTCCAAGTGGCTAGGCCACTTCTACGGAGGTGACTGCTACCTGCTGCTCTATACCTACCTCATCGGCGAGAAGCAGCATTACCTGCTGTACATCTGGCAGGTCAGGATCCAGCTTGTCCCACACAAGCCCAGCCTGCTCAGCTGCTCTCTACCATGCAGCTGTTATCGTGCACGGGTTGAATGCCCCTGGTGATGGGGAGCTCACCCCCTCCAGAGGCAGCCCATTTTATCTGGCAGCAGCTTTGGCTGCGAGATCCCAGTGAGTGCTCCCATTCACCACCCTTCTCTGCATCTCCCTTCCAATCCCCATCACCGCTGCACATTCCCTTCCCCTGCTCTGCCTGGGGGTCCTGCGTCCAGATGGGAAGGAACAGGGAGAGGCTTGGCTGCAGGCGGTGAGTGGTGTGGTCACTCCCAGAGGGAGGAGCAGTAAGGAGGAGAAGAGCAGACTGGGGGTCAAGGCTGAGGTTGAGGTAGGTCAGGGCTGGGCCAAGGCTAGAGTTGGAACTGAGGTTGAAGTCAGGTTGGGTTGGGCTCTGGTGGGGAGGCCTGTTGGTCTGGGGCCAGGTCAGAATAGGGGACAGAGTTGTCACTGAGACTCCACCCTATCCCTTCCTTCTTGTTCATCCCCAGGGCAGCCAGGCCAGCCAGGATGAAATTGCCGCCTCAGCCTACCAGGCTGTTATCCTGGACCAAAAGTACAATGATGAACCGGTCCAAGTCCGCGTCCCCATGGGCAAGGAGCCGCCCCACCTCATGTCCATCTTCAAGGGACGCATGGTGGTGTACCAGGTGTGGCGGCTGGGCTGGGGCAGGTGGGGGTCCAGGAGACAGGGAAGGGGCTGTGGGGAGGTTTAGGGCAAAGCCCATTCATTCCTCATAGGAGAGGACCCTTCAAGGTGCTATCACTTGTGTGGAACTGGTGACAAAAAACAACAAATTAGTCTATTCTTTTTTTTTTTTTTTTTCGGTACAAGGAATCAAACTCATGACCTCATGCTTGCCAGGCAAGCACTGTGCCACTGAGCTATATGCCTGGCCCCCCACTTAGTCCCCCACTTAGTCTAGAAGTATGCATAATGGGTTGGGTGCAGTGGTATACGACTATACTCCCAATTCTCTAGGAGGCTGAGGCAAGAGGATGGCAAGTTTGAGCCCAACCTGAGCAGGTTAGCAACTTAGCGAGACTCTATCTCAAACATTTTTTAAAAAATTTTTTTTGGTTAATTTCTGAGACAGAGTCTTGCTATGTAGTTCAGGCTGGCCTTGAACTCACTATATAGCACAGGCTGGCCTTGAACTTGCAGTGATCCTCCTGCCTCAGCCTCCTGAGTGCTGGGATTACAGGCATGCACCCCCATGCCCAGCTTTTAAAAATTCTTTTTAAAGAGCTAGGAATTAAGCTCAGTGTAAAAGTCCTGGATTCCATCTCCAGTCCTGAAATAAAGAAAGAGGAAAAATAAAAGAAACATCCATAAAAAGCCCTCGCCATGGGCAAGTACTGTCTGCCCTCCATGCTCCAATTCCTTGAATCCTCTACATGAAAAAGGCTAGGTTATACTATACCTTATATATGTCTGCCAGAATGATGCACCTGTCCAAACTGTGCTGGTGTCTTCCAGCAAAATGAAATAGACACGGCATGCAGCTGTTTAAGCAATACTCTTTATTGAGCACCTTCTAAGTACACAGTCCTTTGTAACCAAGCAAAGACAGGGGCGGCAGGCTCCTACTACTGTCTCTGGGAGCGGATGGGCACATGATTGTGTTCAAAGCCACGCAGGGTACAGTCCTGCGAGCTTGGGCGAAGAATTCATGGTGAGAAGGGGGTTTGCAGGGGTCCTGGATATCTAGCTGAAGGGCTTAACGGGGCTCAAATGAAGGCTTGCAATTTAGGGGGCTCAACAAGGCCCACAGCAGGGGCAGGAGGAAGGCCCATGGGGGGACAGTGAGAAGCCTGGCTGAAGGACCCTGGGAGCTGGATACCGAGTGAGCTGGAGGCAGCTGGCCTCCTCATCATGTGAGGGGTTCACAGCCCGGCCGAGGGCTAGGATTTAGTCTTAAAGCAGTGGGGAGCTGCTGAGGAAGAGTGCGAGGAGCAAAGCCAGGCTTGGAAAGATTAGCCTGGCTATGGTGCGTGAGAGGAGCTGGAGGGGTGGGGAGATCTCACCCACCTCTCTTTCTCTGGCTCTCTCTGTGCCCCCCCTTTCCCAATCGCCCCTCTTCCTGCTGTCCCGCACTGCAGGGAGGCTCCTCCCGAGCTAACAGCTCAGAGCCTGCGCCCTCCACGAGGCTGTTCCAGGTCCGGGGAACCAATGCCAACAACACCAAGGCCTTTGAGGTCCTGGCCCGGGCCACCTCTCTCAACTCCAATGACATCTTCGTTCTCAAGACCCCGTCCTGCTGCTACCTGTGGTGCGGGAAGGTGGGTGCTGGGCCCAGAGGCTCCCTTTCGGGCTTCGGTGCGGGGAGCCCCCAGCCTCAGAGCAGACAGGGTCAGGCAGGAGTCCTGGCCCACCAGGTCCCACTCGCTGGGTCCCCAGCTGTCTCGTAGCTGTCTCCTTCTCTGCCCCTCCTCTGACTGTCCCCAGATCCTCTGCCTTTATGCCAGAACCCGTCCCTTGTTTGTCACAGGTCCCCATAGGTCTGTGTCTTGGGCTCTCAGTACCTGCGCCTGTTGCTGTCTCTCCTATTGTCCTTGTGGTGGGGATCCACAGCTTCTTGCAGTCCTCTAACCTTCTGTGCACTCCCTGTCTCCTCTGCTGTTGCCTGGAGTACCAGGGACAGAAGAGGGGATGGAGAGCTGTCCCCACGGGGCTGTGTGCTTGGGACCCTGGTGCAGGAGAGCTCTCTCAGAGCCTGGGCAGGGCACGCAGAAGGGTGGGGAGGGGTGGGACCCAAGATGTCTCCTCCAGCACCGCCGACCCCCTCTCTGCCCAGGGCTGTAGCGGGGATGAGCGGGAGATGGCCAAAATGGTTGCTGACACCATCTCCCCAACGGAGAAGCAAGTGGTGGTAGAAGGGCAGGAGCCAGCCAACTTCTGGATGGCGCTGGGCGGGAAGGCCCCCTACGCCAGCACCAAGAGGTAACTGCACCACCACCTCCAGCTCATGCCTGACAATGAAGGACCCTGTCCCAGAGCCTGCAGCAGGTGTGGACGGAGGATTTTGTGTACCGGGCCCCTAGGCTGATGAGAAGGCCAGGGATACCCAACGGCCTTGAAGTCTTTGGGGCACAGTGCTATGACCACACTGCTCACCAAGGGATCCCCAGGGCCTAGAGCAGGGGGACCTTCCCTGGCAAAGGGCTTTCCTAGCAGAGAGTCAGCTCAAAGAGAGGGGTAGGGATGACTATTTGCCCTTCAAGAAGAAGGTGACAAGCTGGGCACTGTGGTGCACGCCTGTAATGCCAGCACTGAGGAGGCTGAGGCAGGAGGATTGCTGCAAGTTCATGGCCAGCCTGAGCTATAAAGTGAGTTCAAGTCCAGCCTGAACTGTATAGTGAAACCCTCTCTCCAAAAAAAAAAAGACAAAAAGGAGGAAGAGGAGGAGGGGGAGGAGTGGAGAGGTGGAAGGGGAAGAGGAGAAAAAGGTGCCAGAGTGCAGCCCTGCCCTTTGGTACTGGCCTTAGGCCTGGAATATTGTGGAGAACCAGCCACAAACCTCTTTTTGTTTTTGTTTTTTGTTTTTTTTTCCCCTGGTACTGGGAATCAAACACACGACCTCTCATTTGCCAGGCAGGCCACAAACCTCTTTCAAATGGGTTTTGGGGCTGGACTGTACCTCAGTGGTAGAGCACTTGCTTAGCCTATGCAAGGTCCTGAGTTTATCCCTAGTACCCAAACAAATCCAAAAGGCAAGTGTTTTGTCAAGAGTATGTCTATGAGCCCCAGCAGGAGGGATAGAGGGAAGATAGCAGAAAACTTCCTACCAGGGCTATGAAATGCACGTTCAGAAAAGCAGTGCAGATCCCCGGCTGGAGCACTCTCAGGACAGGAGGGGATTCTTTCGTCCTTCATAAGCTGGGGCATCTGGTGAGAAGATGCCTTTCCATGCCTGAGTCCCTCAGAGTTCTTCTCCTTAAGCCTCTGCCCCCCACCTCCTCCTGCCAGCTTGGTCTTCCCTCTACTCTGCAGGCTGCAGGAGGAAAACTCGGTCATCTCCCCCCGGCTCTTCGAATGCTCCAACCAGACTGGGCGCTTCCTGGCCACAGAGATCCCCGACTTCAATCAGGATGACTTGGAGGAGGATGACGTGTTCCTGCTGGATGCGTGGGATCAGGTAGGATCAAGGGCCTAGGGACTGCCCTTCCCCCAACCTCGATCCTCAGGGTTCAGTAAGAATCAGTGTTTTCTTGGAATGGAATTAGGAACAGCAGGGACTGAAGCAAAAGAGGAAGCAGGGGTATTGTGCCTAGAGGGGCTGGATTGGGGCTGGGGATTTAGCTCAGAGGCACAGCACCTGCCTGGCAAGTGCAAGGTCATGAGTTCGATTCCCAGTACCAGAAAAAAACAAAAAAAAAAATCAAAAAACAAAAAACAACAAAACTTCAGTGACAACAAAAAAACTTTCAACTTCAGTGACAATAGAGGGGCTGGATGGAGCCGAGGTCATTTAGCTGGGTAGCGGCAGGGTCAGGGCTCTACTAGTGGACATCTGGGGTAAATTGAGACAGAGCCCTGTGGGCCAGGGAGGAGAGGAAGGCCTGACTGCTGGGGCTCTCCACAGGTCTTCTTCTGGATGGGGAAGAATTCCAATGAGGAGGAGAAGAGGGCTGCGGCTACCACCGTGCAGGAGTACCTTAAGATGCACCCCAGCGGCCGAGACCTTGACACCCCCATCATCGTGGTGAAGCAAGGACACGAGCCCCCCACCTTCACGGGCTGGTTCCTGGCTTGGGACCCCTTCAAGTGGAGTGTGAGTGGCCCCAGCCCAGCCCGGTCCTCATAGCTCACCATATCACCTCGAGGCACAGTTGCAAGGGTGGGCAGACTCCCGCAGGCCTTTCTGTTCCTTTGGGATACATGACCTGCTTATTTGTAAAAGGCTTACAGGGAGCTTAGAGTAAAAACTAGGACTGCAGGAAGGCCATTAAGCCCCCTAGTGAGGGATAGGGAAGGAAATTTATTAAAAGAACAACAGCAGAAAGAAGTTAAACTGCTTGTGGTGGTACATACTACCTGTAATCCCAGCACCCTGGGAGGCTGAGGCATGAGGATTGCAAGTTCAGCCCAGCCCGGGCAGTTTGGTTACTTAGCAAGATATTGTATCAGAATGAAAAATCAAAAAATGGCAAAAATGTATATCAATGTGAAGGTTCAATCCTCAATACTACAAAAAACAAAACAAAAAAAGCAGGCTAACTGTGGTGCCTAGTTTGTAGACTATATTTAGAGCCAAGCTGCTGTATCTGACAGGTAAAGGTCATACATATTACAGGTAAAAGTCATATTTTTATATTAATTAGAATTTAGCTGGGCATGGTGGCATATACTATAATCCCCATACTATAGGGACAGAGGCAAGAGGATGGAGATTTTGAGGCCAGTCACGGCAGCATAGCAAGTCTGAGGTCAATTTGGACTACACAGTGAGATCTTGCTCCAAAAAATAAAAAAATTCAGTCCCTTTGTTAGTTGTATTTTTTTCCCCAGTACTGATTTTTTTTCCTTCCCCAGTATGGAAAATTGATTTCAGGGTCTTTGTACTGAGCTTTATCCATAGCCCTTTTTAAATATTTTTATTTTGAAACTGTCTGGCTAAGTCACTAAACTGCCCAGGCTGAGCTTGAACCTCTATGATCCTCCTGCCTCAGCCTCCTAAACTTCTGCTTGCCACAGTTTAAGTGTGACCAGTGCCTGCCATGTTGGAAAGGGTAGGTAGAGAACATTCCCGTTGCCACAGAAACTTCTCCAAGGTAGTGCTGACAGCAGACACATTGTTTCTAAAGGACAGACAAAACTGGTGTGGTGGCAGGCATCTGTCATCCTAGCACTCGGGTGGCATCAGATCTCCCTGATGTCATGCCACATGAGTGCATGAATGAAGGAATGAGCTGAAGGAGAAGGCTGTGCAGACTCAGGGTGACAGAGGGGCTGCCAGGCTGGGGCAGTGAGGTGGCTCTGAGAAGCTCTGGCCTTGGGATTTCCTGCCTTGCTGTTTGCTGGATCTCTCCTCAGGACTAAACTCAGACCATCAGCATCAGCTATGGAGATCTTTGAGTGCATGTGCGCGCGCGCGCGCGCACACACACACACACACACACACACACACACCCACCATTTTTGAGGACAGTGAGTTCTCCATGGCCCTAAACTCATCTGTCATGTAATTTGGAGCCCCCAGAGCCACCAGCCAAGGCCTCTATTTGTCTGGGTTCCCCACTTCCTACCAACTGGGCTTGCATTTTGCTGAGTGCCAGGCCCTGGAGGTGGGCTGAAAGGGGGCTTCTTCTGCTCCCTGCCCTCCTCTAGGGCAGAGCTCCCTTCCTGCACCCCAGGACCCCTGAGCGCCCTGGAGCTTGAGCAGTGTGGGAGAGTTCTCAGTGCTGCCCGGGGCTGCTTGTGTAGCCTCTGCGGGGTGAAAGGGGCTCCTCTCCATCCATGGCAGGCAGAACCAGGACAGACATCAGCCTCGCCTAGGGCCCCTTAGGTCACCCCAGTCTCACCTCCTCAGAGGCCAACTTGGGCCTCAGCCTGAGGCATGCTCTTCCTCTTCTCAACACCTGGCCAGGACCCAGGCCCTTCAACTCTGGAAGGAAAATGGCCTTTTGTCTCCTCTTTGAGATCCAGGTCTGATCTGCTATTTACTTCACACACAGAACTCCAAATCCTACGAGGACCTGAAGATGGAGCTTGGGAACCCGGAGGACTGGAGCCAGATCACTGCCGTGAGTACAGGGGAGGGTGACTGCGCCCCGAGTGGGATGGGGAGCAGTCAGAGCCAAGAATGCTCCATAGAAGAGGCTGTGTCCTGTGCTTCCTTCCTCTCTCCTCCTGCTTCTTCCAGATGTTCTTGCTGTTGAACTGCAGTGCCTCTAGCTGTTTTGTCTCTCTGTTTCCTAGTGAAATGGTTTCCAGTTATTTTTCGCCATGCTGGAGATCAAACTTAGGCCTTCATCTATGCTAGGCAAGTGCTGTGCCACTGAATTATATCCCCTGGCCCAGTTTCTGATTTTTATTAGGCAGAGGTATCTGGATGATATTAAATTGCAGATTTCAAGACCCCCAAGTATTCTGGTTCATCGAGTTTGGCTCTGCATCTAGGAATCTGTATGTTTTAAATAAAGGGCCCTGTAACTCAGTGACTTAGCAAGTTCTGTCTCAAAAGAATAAGAGAAAGGATAAGGGATGTAGCTCAGGGCGAAGGCCCTCAGTTCAATTCCCAGTGCCGCCTAAGGACTGCACTTTGGGAACTAGTGACAACTCTCCACGTCTTGCTCTTGAGATCGCTGCTCCCAGCAGAATAAACGTGCCTCCTCTGGTTGTTCCATGAGTTAACAGACGCGTATTGAGCCCATAGGCCTGGGGTATGGGAATTTGAAACGAGAGCCTTTCCTGCTAGAAGTTCATGGGCTCACGGGGGAGACAGGACAGAGGCGACTCTGCAGAATAGCATCAGGGGCCTGGAAAGAATTTCCCGGGCTCATGGGGGCAGTCAACACCCACAAGCCCTGCACCCAGAGGCTGAGAACCCCACTGCACTTGCCAAACCTTTCCTGGTGGACGAACAGTGCAGACTGGAAAGGACAGACAGGTCAAAGCTAAGTGAATGTACGATGACACTATCACAACAGATGAGAGAGAGAGAGAGCGTCATAAATACCTAGGGTAGATTTCAAACTCTGGAGGGAACCGTGAAGAAGTTAATAAGTCATTGAATGAAATAGTCACCCGACTGACACTTTGGTCAGGTATAAACCACTAAGCTGGTAGCTGCAGGGTCCAATCCGGATGATATATTCTTAAAAGGAGTGTGTGTGTGTGTGTGTGTGTGTGTGTGTGTGTATCTGCGTATGTCTATGTGTGTGTGTGGGGGGGCCCAGTGGGCCAGGCCCTGGAAGTCTTCTTGAGGGTGGTGCCCTAACTAGTGGCTTTCTTTCCTCTTGTAGGAGATCACAAACCCCAAAGTGGACATGTTCACCGTCCATACCAACTTAACTTCTGGGCCTCTGCCTATCTTCCCCCTGGAGCAGCTAGTGAACAAGCCGGTGGATGAGCTCCCCGAGGGCGTGGACCCCAGCAGGAAGGAGGTGGGTATGGCCCTCACTGACAGCACCTGGAGATCTGGCCAAAGGACCTAAATTCCCCCTGAGGGCACTGGGTGCCAGGGTCACCCTGGTGAACCAGACAGACCTGTCCCTCCCACTTCCCTGCCAGCTTGTATACCTGGGGGACAGAGATCAGAGAAGCCTGAACATAATGATCATTCCAGTGCTAAGTGTCACCAAGATAAAGTACAGGGGCCAGGGTCAGTATTACAAAAAGGAGCCTGATTTAGTCAAAATTTTCCTTCTGAAATGTGCACAGGATAGATAGATTGATGGATTGACTGATTATTTTAGACAGGGCCTTGTTAAGGTATTCCAAGATGGCCTGAATTTGAACTTGGGATGCTCCTGCCTCAGCATCCTAGAGTACTGGGATTATAGGCATGCATCAGCACACCCAGTTGAGATTTACATTTTTAAAAGATGGCTCTAAGCCAGAGAGCAGCACTCTGGAAGGCTGAGGCAGGAGGATAGTGAGTTTGCAACCAGCTATCCTGAGCAACTTAATGACTTAGTAAGACCTTGTTGCAAAATAACAAATTTTATTTAAAAAAGGGTTTCAGCGTAGCTCAGTATGAAGGCCCTGAGTTCAGTCCCCAGTAGAAATAAAATATTGGTCTGGCTGCTCAGTGAAGAATAGACTGGAAGATGGCAAGAACTGTCAGGAGAGGCAATAGGAGAGCAGGTCCCTGTCATGCTGTGTGGTTGTCCTGTCTTTTGAGGCACCTGGGACTCACCCAGATTGAGGCGTATGAGAGGCCAGCAATTCAGAGGACTTGGGGCAGAGCTGGAGCCCACTACTCCACATATGGTGCAGCTGGTATTGGCAGTGCAGGGGCAGGTCTGGCGGGACTACAGCAGGAAGAGCTGGTCAAAATCTCTTTGCCTGCCTGCCCTGCTCTCTTCCTCCTCCTCCTCCTCTTCTTTTTCTCTTCTTCCTGCTTCTCCTTCTCCTCCTCCCTTCCCCTCCTTTGTTTTTCCTCTTCCTCCCCTTCCTCCCGCCCCTACCCTCTGTCCTGGGACTGAACCCAGGCCCTCATGCACGCTAGGCAATGTGCTAGGCAATGCTTTACCACTGCTTGAAGGACACTGTCCCGTGAATCCTATTCTCTTGGATTCTCCCATCTGGCCAGTGGCTGGGAGCCTAGGAAGCACCTGTGTCCTTACTGCATCATCGGGATGTTCCCAGAATAAGTGACACCTAGCCCAGGTCCTCGTACATGAAGTGCTTTATTAATGAAAGCTGTTACTGCCTATTTTACATCCAAAAAAAGCAGGTCCAGCTGGAGGGGAAGTGGTTTGTGTGATGTGAACTAGCTAGCTAGAAAGCCAGAATCAAGTCTTCTAGCCAGGCCTGGTGATGCATGCCTTTAATGAAGCATTCAGGAGGCGGAGACAGGAGGATCACAAGCTCGAGGCAAGTCTGGGCTACACAGTGAGTTCAAGGCCAACCTGGAATACATAGTGAGACCCTGTCTCAAAAACAATGACAAGAAGAAGAAAAATTCAGGTTTTCTGAGTGCTAGTTTTACCATCATGTTACATGCCAAAAAAGGACATATATTCTGTATTTCTAAAGAGAAGGGCAGCCAGTGTTAAAGATAGCCCATTATGTGAGAAGAAGTTGAAGAAACAATTTCCCAGTTGAGGAAGCCTCAGATTTTAATAGCAGTTACCTGCAGCTGATTTTTTAAAAATCATGGAAGTAGGTGTTTCCTTGTGAGAGAGCTGAGAGTTCAATATCAAGTGTGGAGGGGAGGAGAGGTTTTCAGAGCTCTCTGGCTGCTGTAAACTCAGAAGGTGACCAGTGACAAGAGTGGGGTGGTGGGCCTGGGTGCAGGCAGTAGACAGAGCATAATCTAAGGGTTGAGCCTCAGTGATAAAATCCAGGAAGGTGGGTATGGGTGAGGCTGGTAATCAGCGGGCAAGACCGTGGTGTTCAAGAGCACAAGCCATGGAAAGACACAAGTCCACTGGGATGGGCAGTCCTTGCTATCTAGCTTGAAAGATCAGAGTCCAGGAGTCCTGGCAGAGCCAGGCTGAGCCAGAGAGGGAACTGTGCAGCCACTTTCAGGGACGGGGGACACGGTAGTCATGGCTGTGAGGAATCTGCTGATGCCCAAAGTGATTATGTTTATTCTCTTCTTCCAAAACAAAGTCTTCGCTGCCCTGCTGGGGGAGGGGAAGGCTCCTAGGATCCAGCTCTCAGGAGCCTCAGGGAGAGAATGCCCAGGGGAGGGAGGTGAAGCTAATGACGGGCTAGAGAACTAGGGCATCAGACCCACCTGAGCTTGAAACCTATCCACAGTGCTTATGAAGGAGCGATGCAATGCAGGGCTCTCTGGGAGTCAATAAATGTCCCCTAGAGCACTCTGCTTCAGTGGAGCAGCCCAAGATCTCAGGGAAGCTCACTGTGCTCATCCCTGTCCCACCTACCTCTCCATGCCTTCAGGAGCAGAGACGAAGGCCGAGAGATGCTGTTTCATACTTACTTTAATTTGGGCCCTTATTTGGGTGTACCTAGAGGGTAGTTAGCTGCCTTACCTAGCATTATGATAATACTATCCTAGAGCTGGGAACAAGGGTGGTTTCAATCAATTCTCTGCCTTATAAAGATCCCTGTATTAGCTTTCTTGTGGCGGAGACACAATACCTGACACCTACAACTGAAAGGAGGAAAGGTTCAATTCGGCTCATGGTTTTGAGGACTTCAGTCCACGGCTGGCTGACTCCAAGGCAGGAACACATGGCAGGAGGGAGCGGTGAAACAGCTGCTCAGTTCATGGTGGCTTGGAAGCAGATGGGAACAGAGCCAGAGAGGAATGAGTGAGGGACTGAATGAGTGAGGTCACACTTTCATGACCCACTGACACATCCAGGATTGTACTTCACTAATCTGCTGGGCATTTCTTAAATCAATGAGGGTGACATATCAGGTTAACAGCCACAATACCAAAGGCCTGGGCAGGTAGTGAAGCTAAGAGTAAAAAGGTAAAATTGTGCAATCTAATCTTTTGAACATTCACAAGATGAGAGGAGTTGGCACACATCATTTACTCTAATATTTTGTTTTCTACCCAACATAGCGAGGGAAATCTGACTCTCAATACGTGAGGCAGCCTTCCTGGCTTCTCCTCTTAGAATCCTTCCCCTGGCTTGGGTCTCCCTTCTGCAGCTACCCTCCCACCATCTAAGCAGAACCACAAGTCCAGGAGGGAAGATGGCAAGGGCTCTTCATAGTGTGCCTGAAACCAGTCAAGGCAGAAATCAGGGTGGTGCAGAGGAACCTGTGCTGGAATGACCTTGACTTTCTTGAGCACTGGCTTCGACATCTAAACACAGGAGCATAGTGGCCCTCAGTGTCCGTGGGGGATTGGTGCTGGGACATCCCAGGATACCAAACAATGCTCAAGTCCTATATAAAATGGGGGTAGTATTTGCATATAATCTATGCCGACCATCCTGTACACTTTGTTTGAAACAGGGTCTCACTGTGTAGTCCAAACCAGACTTAAACTTGCTAGAGAGCTCAGGCTGGCCTTGAAACTGCAATCTTCCTGTCTTAGCCTCCTGAGTGCTCAGATTACAGGCACATGTCACCTGCATACTTTAGATGACTTAAAATGCCTAGATCAAAATAAATGCTGTGTAAGTAGCTATTATACAATAATATGTAGGGAATTTTATAAGAAAAAAATTTATTCATGTTCAGTACAAATTTCTGCCCTAATATTTTCAATCTAGTTGGTTGAATCCATGGATACAGAACTCACTGATAGGGAAGCGACTGTATTTGGGTCTGCCTATCTTCATGCCTCAGCAGTACTCATGTCAAACTGTTGCTTGCTCTGCCCCCTAGGACCGTTAGGCCTACTTCCCTTGCAGCTGGTCTGCTAACTTGCTCCGAAGCTAGAGAGCCACACGTCCTGTGGTGGCAGTGAAGCTTGTCCATCCACACTGGGCGGAAGTCCTGGTCTGGGGCTCATCTGCTTGTTTTGTGGGCTGGGCTATGATTTATGAAGGTAGATGAGCCAGATCCCCCGCCATACTCTTTTCTATGTAGTAGTATTGTCATCCTCATAAAAAAATATAAATTGGCCTTCATGAGATTTCTCTCATTTTATGGAAAGGATAACTAAGGCCTTAAAGAGCAGCAATTCCTTAAGTCAGTCAAAGGTCCTGATTCTTATTTGTAGACTAACATAGATTTGACCCTGGTAGGAAGAAAGGCAGCCCTCTGTATGTTCCTTTCCTCTCAGGGAACTCCAAACTGCCGCTGCCCGGGTCCCCAGTGCTTTCCTGGCTCTCACGTTGTTTGCTCTTGCTCTTCATTTGATTGATTCTCTGCCACACCTGTATGACTCAGTCCACCAAGCCTGGGAAGGCTGTGACCTTTGTCTTCTGGCCCTTCCTCTCCTAGGAGCACCTGTCTGTTGAAGATTTCACTAAGGCTCTGGGAATGACTCCAGCGGCCTTCTCTGCCCTGCCCCGATGGAAACAACAAAACCTCAAGAAAGAAAAGGGACTATTTTAAGAAGCAAGAGTAGTTGTGGTTGTAAGGCAGCACCCTACCCTGCTTTGGAGGCTCTGTCATTATTACTGGTTTTAGTCCCACGCCAACTTTAGAGAACATACCCAGCTGCCCCCGTGAGGAGGCAGCGTGTGGCAATGCCACTTTTGTTTAGTAATCTACCCACTCCCTCAGAAAGATGCCGCCTCCCCGAGGAGCCTGCGACCTGAAGAAGGCCAGACTGTTTTTCTCCTGGACATCACATCATTTCTAACCATCCTGTTCTAGAGCTTTCCCTCCTTAGAGGGGCAGCCCAACACTCCCACATTAAGAGTTGTGAGGCACTGCCCAGTTTTTTTTTTTTTTTTTTTTAATCTACAGCAGGTGGGCCGAAGCACTGTGCAGTTTTACATCTTTCCCACTGTAATGGCCTCTGCATTTCACATGTGCTTTCCTCACTACCTTACTCAGGTGCTAAGTTAAAGAGGACCCCTTCTTTGGAGTGCTGAGTGGCCTAGGAGATTGCCTTCCTGGGTTACACAACACTCACTAAATAGTACTTAGTGAGAACAGCACATCCACTGGTTCTAGGCCTGAGGCCTAAAGCAAAGCATGACATGAAATGCTAATGGCTTCTCACCCGGTGCCTCCCTCTAATGAGGCAGTTACCCAGAAGCCTCTGCAAAGCTTCACAGGCTCCTCGGAAGAAAACCATAGGAACTCAGTGGTTACGACCGCCTAACATCAGGCTTGCTGCATGGGAGTCCAGGCAGGCAGCCAACGAAGGTGACGTCCACTTCACACTGGCGTTAACGGTGTCTGCAAGAGTGTGTCCTTTTTAAAAGTAACAGTCAAACCAACAGCAGGTTAATAAAGGCTTTAATTTTACACACCAAAAAACTGTATAATTTAAAAAGGAAACAAAAGGAAAAACCATGAAAGATCCAGAGGAACAGTTCTGCTAAAACACAGATAAAAGTGCCGCTCCACACAAAACAGCAAAAACCAGAATAAAAAGTCACTATAAACACAAAGAAAAAAAAAAAACCTCCTTACAAATAATGTGGCCAAAGCTGCTAACAATCCCGGGAGTGCCTCATTAGGCCAAGTGTAGGAACCTTACTTCTGCTTCTCCTCCCAAAGCGGACAGAAACCAATGCTAGGCCAGGGAAGCTGAGGTGGGAGGAAGTGCTGAAAGGGAGGGAAATCTGGGGATTGGAGGTTTGCATACCCACATGTGGTCTCCATTTGTGTTGTTTCTGAAACAGACCAGTTTGGCTGACTAGTCTTCTTCGTTCTGGCATTTGACCTGGTGACCCTGAATCTGATGCCCCCATCACACTGTGTTCTTAGGCCAGTGGGCACACCTATAGCTTGAAACTCTACACTTAGTCCAACGTCACTAAAATCAAATGTCTTTTTTTGGAGAGTGTCTTCCCATGTAGTCCAGGTGGCCTGGAACTCATGGCCAGCCTCCTGCCTCAGCCTCCCAAGTGCTGGGATTACAGGCGTGCGCCACCACACCTGGCCACTAAATGTTTATTCATACTGACACACTTTTCATTAAAACTTCAAAACCTCAGACACACTGCATACATGGAAAGGAAATAATTTACTAATTGTGTATAAATACAATGAAAGAGACTGCCTGAAGTCTATTAGTCAAAGCATGCCATAAAGGAATCAACGATTGTGGTGAAACACAGCAAAATAATTGTGTCACAAAACTTTCAATGCTTAACAAATATAGTTTCCCAATAAAATATATTTTTTCAGATGTTACTAAGGTGTATCAATAGAGACAGAACAATTTTGAAGTAATGCATCAGAAAGATGATACAGGGTAGACATCTGTTAGTTTCTGTACACTTGCAAGAGAGAGTTACCGGATGTAAAGCAAGATGGGGAGAAAAGTCCATGTCCATCTTATTGGGACACTTAGGAGACATCCATCTGGTGCTCGGTTGCTGACATCTCTAAAAACCTCTGCATATGTGCTAGAGCCACCTTACGTGGAGCTCCAGGTGTTCCTCAGATTTAAAGCAAAAATCTACTTCTGGGGTCAATTAAATCAAACAGGAAAAAAAGGTTGGATAACCAAGGTTGTGCGCTGTAGTCATTTTCAGAGGATTGAGAAGAGGGTGGGTAATGCGTTAGTTTCAATGGTTCAGGAGATCACAAGTTTACAAATTACTTTTTTTCCCTCTTTAACTGCAATACAGAGGAATAAATTTACAGTTTTTTTTTTTTTTTTTGCAGAGGTTCTAAATTGTAAAGCTTCTCAGATTTTTCACTTGATCATGGGGAAAAAGAAATGTGTAGTTGAATATGTGCATCTGGAATTAATGAACTGATGTGTAGTATAACGGCGTATTTCCTGAAATGTAAACACATTTACATTTGTTATATTTGCTGCTGAGCTATTTAAGTTAGGCCCAGAATTAACAGAGCACTGCAAGTAAACAAACAGCTTTGGAATCAAAAATATAAATAGAAGATCAATTAGTGGATCTGCTTATTTTATTCTGCTGAGATAAAACGAGTGTACAAACATAAATATATCTCTACAAAAGTTATCTTCTCACAGGCCTACAGTCTTGGCTATTAAAATGACATCTGTCTACATGCAACCTTCTGACTCTATAATATTAGCGGACAGAAATCAACAAGTTTGAATTTTAATTTATTTTTCTCTTCCAAAAATTTCAATTAAGATCAAAAGGCTGTGTCCAAAACTAATTGCTATCACATTCCAATTCAGTCATTTAAAGTAATGTACCACACCACATATTTGGTATGTTCAACAGGTTCATTATTGTGCAGACTTCCTGGAACCGTAGTACTACTCTGTTCCCATCTAATTTCCCCTTTCCTGGCCCCAACCGGCTAACTGACCCATGCCCCAACTACGGGCAAACTGATCACACTGTGCAAAAAAAATAATATATTATCTATTTATAATTTAAAAATATATACAGCCAGCTCAAAAAAGAAAAAAAAAAAACCCCCACAAAACCCAAGCCCTATCAATATAGTCCAGCTGAAATCTCCATTTACAGTAAAGTGAGTAAGTTAAAGAGGGAAGGGCGAAGGGAAGATTAACAAGGCCACAACAAAGGACAGAGAGTAAAATTCAAGTCCCAAATTTGCAAGGAGGAGCACTGAGGTAACTCATGTTCTACTAACCTATTTTCAACAAGTCCTGCCCAAGACATGAAAGTCAAACCAACTAAGATTTCTGTGCCAAGTGTTCTAAGCTAACATACATATGCACACTGTGAAAGCAACTCCACGGAGCTGCTTGTGAGGCCATCTCGGTTTATGGCGTTATTTTGCTTTTCTCTGTCTTAATGTAAATCTCACTTCACACTGTTCCCTATCATTTTTAACAGTTCAGAGCTCTCAAATGCAGAGACAGGGAATAAAGTAACTAAAGAATTTAATCACCACCACTGCACTTATTTATGAGAAAAGCACTTAATTTGAAAACAAAACAAGGCTCCTGGCAGAAAACAAAAATTTGAAAGCTTAAAAAAAATTAAAGCAAATATTTCCCTCTGCTCTAAACTACCCTACATAACTACCACTGCACCATTTTGGAACATTCACTATGGTAATGTGTGCTGATACATCGCAGGAAGCAAAGCATTTATCAGTAGTTAAGCAAAAGTGCTGAGGCCATTTACAATTCAAAGGTCCAAAATTTTAGAATAGGTGACCTCATCAGAACACAACCAAATTTTAGAGGGAGGCTGAAGCTCTCTGAAGGTAACCTTTCAGAAAATACGTTGTATCTTTTGTGATGATGAGTTTTAACATATTTTCCCCTCTAAAACCTGATACGTTTTGTCCTTACCTTCGAACTGAACAGTAATCCCCTTATCTATAATAAAAGCAAGAAAAAACAGAGAAGAAAATGTAGATTTCATTATGCTATATTGAAGTCTGGGTGATCCTAATACCTGGGCTCACAGAATTCCACCCTCACACCACCCTTCCTGCAGCTGGCGAATCTGCTGACCAGAGCTGGGTGTTTCGGCTAAGGGATTAAGGCAGCACTTGATCCTACATCCCCACTCAGCCTCAACTCAGAGCACCTAGAAAGAAAAATATATCGCGCACCTTTGTTATTTGTTAGGTTCTTGGAATTACCCAAACCAGTCACATTTTAATTCTCACCCTGTTTTAAAGGTAAAGCAAGATAGTAAATAATTAAATGCTCAAGTTTTTTCCTACAGCTCATGTACTTAATTTCACATGTGCGGCAGATTTTGGCTTTAGTGGTCCAGGGTTTGAGCTGTAACACAACAGCACCCCTATTGACCTCTCTGCAGTGGAGGCAGAGATGCTACCATTTTTCCTTCTCCCTAAGTATCCCTCCTGGGGAGTCCCAGTTGGAGCAATATCTTTCTGTTAAAAGTTTGGGCTACTACACATTGGGGTCGTGCCTGCTCCATGATACAGAATGGTACAGAAGTACACAAAGATTCTAACTTCACCATCACAATAATATAGATGAACAGGTTCAACAAAGTGTGTGAAGGATTCTCTTTAGAGAAAAACGTGAGGTGTAAAATGAATGCCAAAGATAGGACGGTAACACAATCCAAAGCACCAACAATCCACTTCTTGGGAACTGCATGTAAACAGCACAGGCATGACAGATTCATGAAACTTAAGAATGATACAAAAAGCTTAAGTCAGGTGACGGAAATGCCTCTTGCAAGGAGGACAAACTTATTAGTGTAACATGGAGAGCTGGCTTTCCAGTGAATTTTACTGGTAAGAAACACACACAAAGGGCAGATTTAAATGAAGCTACTCAAGGAACACAAAAACAACCAACCGACTTCTGTATCTTCACACATTTTTCAGGTGAATGGACTCTCTGACACTTTCATTTCTTCTCCGAGCTTCCTCACTGTTGGATTTTTCTTTCTTTCTTTCTTTCCTTTTTCCTTTTTTTTTTTTGGTTTTTATGAGACAGGGTCTCGCTATGCAGTTCAGGCTGGCCTTGAACTTACTATATAGCCCAGGTTGGCCACAAAATCACAGCGATCCTCCTGCCTCAGCCTCCCAAGTGCTAGAGTATAGTCGTGCGTTGCCAGGCCTGGCTTGCAGTTAATTCTGAGCAGGTGTACTCTTGTGGCTCACCCCAACTCCTTAAGGCTCCATTCATCCTGCATGTGTATGTACATATATATATACAGATATATTTACAACACGTACTCCTAAGACAAAACGAAGTACCACTCTTATAGGAGAAAAAGAGGATAATCAGCTACAGATGAGACCACGGTGTCCACAAAATAGCATGGAGTATTCCACATAACTGCAACTTTGTCTTTTGATTTGGCCCTGAGCTGTTTGTTGCTCCCGCATCAAGTAGAATTCCAAATTCCCTTGGGCAGAGAAAAGGTGACGTGGGCAGCAGTGAGACAGAAAATGCAGCGCATGCTGCCCACCCAGGAGGCTTCTCACGAGGCCGGACGGGCAGTCTTCCCTGCTTCCGTGCTAAGTGCCTGAGAGTTCTTTTCTGTTTCTAGCAGCTCATCAAAGATCTCCCTTCAAATAAAACAAAACATACAACAGGAAGTTCAGTGAACAGAACCAAAGTACAGAAGAAAAAGCTACAGGAAAGGGATATTAATAGTCTGCACAATCCCATTTGGTGCCTACATTTTATTAAACAAGTCCCTCATTTATTCCATCACCATTTTAAATCCCTGGATAGTAATTTTTGAGAATGGGGTGAACTGGCAATAAAAATATTATGCAGCTAGGCATGGTAATGCAGGTCTGTTATCCCAGCACTTGGGAAGCTGAGGCAGGAGGACTGCTGTGAGTTCAAGGCCAGGCTCGGCTACATAAGTGAGTTCAAGGTCAGCCTGCACCTTGTA